ACAGATTGATAATCAGTAAATGAGGGGTTAATCGTGGTCAGAAGAGAATAGATTTAAATTGATTTCATTAGATCTTTCCATAATAGAATATTAGAAAGGCTGCAGTGGACTCTGACAGTTCTTATTTTTCAGTATAGAGGTCAGACATCATAAAGTGCCCTTATATCCACTGTAAAATTACTGTTACTGGCAAACTCAGACACCATGAATTAGAGAATCCCTTAGTGTGGATTTAAACTTACACTTAACAATGTCTGAACTTAATGTTTACCCATAAGTATCAAACTGTCTGTTGTGTAAATATGACCAGCATTACAATGCAATATGCAAAATATTAACTCTTATATTTATAAATATTATAAAATGACAGCATAATCTTTTTTTTTTTTTTTTTTAAATACTCCCATACACACCCTGTGATGTTGATATTTAAATTACCTGAATTTAGGTCAATTGCATTCTCTAGAAATCTATGTTAAATAAAGCAATAAAGCACCGGTTATATATCATAATATATTAAACACAGGTTGTAATAACACGAGTCAACCAAAAGATCTGACTGATTAGTCCATTTAATGTGACACAAACCATTAGCTACCAGCGCTCGTTTAATTCTACCTTAGGATACACTTTGGGCAGTGCTAAACTAAATCCATCTTTTATATATATATATAGCGAGGTGTGTGCTTAGTGCCAAACATATCTGGAGGTTATTTTTTTTTTTTTTTTTAGATCATTCTAATAAAAAAACAAACAAACAAAACATTTTCTTTAGCAGTTTAAAAAGCTCTTGATTGACAAGGGAAATGTTACAAATAAATAAAAAGTACACAATGATTTTCATTATACTATTTGGAAGGCTTTCAATTTATTTTCATCAAATGCATTAACTTTTTCACTGCCATGCTTCACAGTAAAAATCCATTGTTGGAAAAAAAAAATATTTAAAATAAATAAATAAATAAAATCTTGCTGTGACCCCTCTAGCACTGACAGAGTTCAACACATAGATGCATATTTTATAGCTTAAGGACATAATGGGTAATTAATAAATCATACAACAGTAAACTTTCATCCTATTAGAGGGACATGCGGGTTCCAGCTAGCAGAGGGAGGAGGGGGTGGGATACTGTCTCTTTAAGGTCACTATATGCTCTGGTATGATGTTTGAAAGGACAGCTGGGTAGTGGCCATCTGACTGACTACAGCATGACATCTGGGAGTCCACTGGTGTGTGGCACGCGAATCGCTTGATGTCGCTATTTGAATGCAAATTTGGGGGGGGATCATTCAAGCCTTAACCCCGTAAATCGACACAAAAGGAACACTTCACACCCTGCAAGCCGGGGGATTGGTGCTTCGGGAGGTCCTAGGGCTGCTGCATGCAAATCTCATTCAAATCCACACACCTTCTGCTTCACTAACTTTTCTTAAGGTCAAGATTTGGTAGCAGTTTTTATTTTTATTTTTTAATAAATATATATATATTTTAAACATTTTTTTTAAGACTGATTAGAAACTGGAGAGAGGCAGAGACTACCTTACCTGCCAATAAATGAATCCCCATCTCTTTTAGAAGACCACATGTTACCCCCCATGCCACCCCCTTAAAATGTAGCCCTTGTTCTGCAGCTTATTTTTCTCAAGTCGTTTTGTGTCCTTCTACCAAGTTTACCCTCCAACCCCACATCTCTTTCTTATAGCTTAATTTTTATTAAATAAAGGATACTTTTCTGTTGCTTTTTATATTTTTTGTTTTTGTTCCCCTGGAAAGTGAGCTCTCCTATTTCCATTTCATTTTATTTTGGACCAGGGATGAAATCTCTCATCAACTCTAGAAATGATTTTCTTACAAAGTGTCTTGATTCTTTTATTTGTTTTGTTTTTTTCTTTGCATTCCATCCTTGTTTCCCCAAATCCCACACACTGAAATTTGCACATATATATCTATATATCTTTTATTGTTTATTTTTTTAATAAATCACAAATAAATCCGTTTAATTCGTGGCATCCTGAATGCAGTGCTTTCTCGAAGGCTTGTTTGCAGTTGTCAATGGTATCTCTCTCTGTGTTCATTTTATGCAAAAACATCTTTTTGCATTTTAGCTTTTAGCCAGCATTATAGAGACAAAAAAAAAAAAAAAATAGATAAAGTTGGTGAATGATAAAGGCCGTATTCTCCACGCTTTGGGTGCAAGACCAGATGATCTAGAAAATGAGCTGAAATACATTCAGCCTCAGAGCCTGTTGTGTAGAAGCAGCTGATTCTCCTATTTTTGGCCAGATGGCTTGTGAGCACAGATTTGCATTCATTTCCCCTTAATATCATCCAAAATAGTGGGGCAGCTGCATTTGTTGTCAAAAAAGGTTTAAAACTCCTTTTCTTTTCTAGGACAGGATCGTTACCTTATGTGATGGGTTTGTGCAACTTTCCCTCTCTCTCTCTTTAGTCAACAGTATCAGATTTAAAGGGATTTATTTTTAAATCTCCTAATTTGGTAATCAGATTTAAAATCGCCTTGGCGCGTGTAATCTGAATTAACGATACTGTAAATGATTTCAAGCCTTCTTTTCTCTCTCTCTCTCTTCTTTTAATGGCAGAATGTGTATTTTCAGCCGCCTGGATCCTAGAGCTGACACTCCATTTAACCCTCGTGGCTCCAAACTGGCTACCAAAGCAATGAGTGGTATTGTAAAACCATTTAAACTACACAATGAGCTACAGCTGTGCAGTTAAAAAAATATACAATATAACACATCAATAGTTATACATTTTTATTTTAATATATAAATGCAATACATTTAATATTTTTAGTACTGAAAAAAAAAAGTAAGTATACAGATCAATGGATGGTGCATCAATGCTGGATAAAAACTGGCATGAGGATAAAATTACACTCATTTTGTTTATCTTCCTTTTGTGTGCAAGTCTCCCTGATGTTCAAGGTTGGGATTCTCTATGCATTACAATGATAACAGTATTATATTATATTTGATAATCTTTCTTATTCTTCTTCTTATTTGTTGGGTGGAAAAGCTGTGGGCTTACAGTGAATCCAATACTTTTTTTCTTTCTTTGAATATCCATGAATAGTTTTCCATACACTTTGATTTCATTTTATTAACATTCTATAGACAGTGGCATTTCTAATATGTGGCGATAGCTTCTAAAGACTAATCTCATTACTCTCAAATAGTCATAAAATATGATTTTATTAAACTTACGTATTTAATTAGACGGCCAGCAATGTAATGGATTTTGAGATTGGTGTAGAGCAACATCTTTGATAATTCACTTATCTTTGGCAATAGTCATTAACCCCCCCAACACCAGCAAAATAGATTGCCTTATAACACAGCCTTTTTTCAGCCCAGGGAGTGGAGGGGGCTGGTTTGGGGAGTCCCCTGACAACACATTGGGCTTCGATTTTCACTGATTAATTAAAATATTTGAGTACCTTCCCTAACAATTCAGCAAAAAAGGAAGTGATACTACTTAAGAAGGGGAGGTTCCCACGCTAACTGCCCTTCAGGTTTGTACCCCCTTAATTCCTTATGATATTGTTTTATCAAAGGGGGTCTGATGAACCTGTGTGAGACAGTATTCAAAACAGACACTGTGTATCCCCCTGGGTGTTCTTCCCCTGCCCTCCAAACAGTCTTTTAGCATATTATCCTGACTGCTTCAACCCACACACCCTGGACAACAGCTCCCAGCAGAAATAGTTCCCAGATTAGGAGATGCTTTTCATTTGTGGACCACTTATTCTTCCAGTGCTTAAAGTATTATTAATATTTATTTTTACAGGAAGAAAACAGTCAAGATTTCTTTTGTTTCCAAATATGTTCTATCAGGGAGGGGGGAGAGGGGGGGTTCCAGAATAATAAAATACAGTTACAAAATAGCACTGAAACATTTTCACCCTTGTTCTTGAATCAAGAACTGTATTGAAAAGTGGCTTTATTTTCGAATGTTTCCGGAGTGTAACTAGTGGGAAGATGGGAGTACAAAAAAAAAAAAAAACTCCATCGAGGCATCTGTTTTTATTTTAAACATGAACATTTCCAATTTTCATTTTAATCGCTTTTCTATGACCACAAAACTATAACATGTCCAGTCAAATATTGGTGCACTGCCAGAGATTGGTACTGCTCTTCCTAGGACCAAAAAACAGCATTCATTCTTTTTTTAGGTGATTGGTGGCATTTTGCACAAAAAAATAAATAAAATATATGCAAAATATATTATAAATTCTTGTTCATTCCCTCCCAAAACTCAAGTTACATTTTTTTTCCACGTCCCATAATAAAAAGGACATTTAAAAAAAAGCATCAATGCTATAATGCCACTTGCATTAATACATTGTAAGAAGCATTGTACAGTTACTGGTAAAACAAATCCCTCCGTATTCTAAAGAAGTAGCAAAGCCAAAACAAAAAATCAGTAGTGAAAAAATAAATCACATCAAGTGAAAATCTGATCTGTCAACTTGTGTAAGGAGTCTATGCACTTAACATAATGGTCCCTGTGATATCAGACTTCTCTTTTCTTGCATTGATTTCAGATATATACATTGCTACAGATGCATATTTATATATGTGTGTGTGTGTGTCTGTTTTATACATGTGTGTGAATAAAAAAAGTAAAAAAAAAATATATATACACGCACACACACACACACACACTCTACATATAGTGTATAATATATACACTGTATCTGTATCAATCTATCTAGTTATCTATCTCACATGTGTGCTTTGTACAAAGAGTTAAAAAGGGGGAATATTTGAATATAATAATTAATTTATTGATATCTGGATGCAATTTTTTTTTTTCCATCTCCCCCCTCGCCCTTTTTTTTTTTCCAGTTTGGCTGCCATTTGTTTCCTTTTAAGATTTATTCGGCCGAATGATAACTTCATTGGCTGTTGATATATATAAAAAAATCTCCCCATGCATTATAAGCAGAAGGAGTGCAGAGCCAGTAGTGTGAGGCTGCAGCAGTCACTCAGCAACTAAACAAGACTTGCTCTCCTCCAAAGCAAAGAAGGAGGGGGGATGCTGGCCTCTCCATACATGGTCAAAACCACACCTCCCGCACGTCACCGGCTGACAGAGCAGCTCCCCGGGGTTTAGAGTTTTGGCTCCCGGGAAAGGTTCCATTCCTAGGGGATAGAGGGCTGAGTTTTGTTCGCTTCCATCCATTCTGCAAGACGCTAAAGGCCCCTCATCAACCTCTCCTGTGTCCAAGAACACCGCCGTGGTAATCATTTTTTCGTTTATTTGTCTTTTGGAGCAGGAAAGTCTTGCCAGAAGTGTTCCATTCAGCAGTGTCCTGAAGCTTTTTTGATGCTGTTTCTGCTGGGATGACACCACATTAAGAGAAAATCTACCAACAACGACCCAAAAATATTTATTTTTTTGCCTCTCTCACTGCAAGCACATTTCCGACTGGTGGTGGTGGTGCTGGCTTAATATATATATATATTATATATATATTATTTTTATTAATATTATATTATTTATTTTTTATTATTTTTTTTAATAGTTTTCATTTTATTTGATTTTTTTTTTTTTTTTTTTTTTTTTTTTGTGTGTGATACCTCACAACAACAACTGGAAGGCAGTTCCAAGTATCTGCAAGAAGTGTTCTGCAAATTGTTTATGTTGTGCCAAGCCAGCGACAGATTGAAGAAGGAAGCAAGACTTAAAACTGGGCTTTTCTCCTACTGAACCTGGGGAGCAAAGTCATCAGCACTATAAGGAGGAACAGCTAAACAAAAACACACAAAAAAAAAAAACTACAACGAGCGAGCGAGAAAAAAAAAATAATAATAAAAAAAATACCTTGACATTTCCTTTTATCTGAACCCCCTTTGGCAGGAGCTGGTTGTGCCCAAATTTTGTTTTAATGTTTGGGATTCAGGAAAATATACCAAGAGGTGGAACCACCATGAAAGAGGAACCACTGGGAGGTGGGATGAATCCAGTCCGGTCGTGGATGCATACTGCAGGGGTAGTGGATGCTAACACAGCCGCCCAAAGGTATGTGTGCCAAATGATCTGGGTTTTATTTCTTATCCTGATTGTAAATCCCCCCTCAATGGTCTATATCAATTACAATCGCCTGTACTGTGTCTCTGGTTACATCACGTTCTAGTGACACATGCAGAGATTCTATGCCCCATGCCTTGCACTCTCTCATCCCCTTCTCCAGCATGGCTAGAAGCTCTGTGCTTACCCCAGCCCTTGTCTCATTTCCTCCTGCAGTGGTGTGGGTCTGGCTCGGGCACATTTCGAAAAACAGCCTCCCTCGAACCTCAGGAAATCCAATTTTTTCCACTTCGTGCTAGCTCTCTATGACAGGCAGGGACAGCCGGTGGAGATTGAGAGGACAGCTTTTGTGGACTTTGTGGAAAAGGAGAAAGTAAGTCCATAAACTCAATTAATATTATCATCCCCCCCATCATCATAATTATCATCATCTCCATCATCATTAAGGCTAGGCATGTGAAGGCAAAATAAATATATACAAATAATAAAAATATATATTTTTTTAGAAATATACATAAATATTGGTAGTCTGTTCGCCCCTCCACCCCCTCACCCCAAAAAACTGCAAAATTGGGCAAAAAATCATTATATTTTCTTTATCCTGGAGTTGAGTAAAAATGATCCCTAAGTGCACTCCAGAGGCGAACTCACCACGTGTAGATGTGCCTGTTATTAGTACATCACTTGGCAAACAGGACAAAATGATGGTTTATATGAAGTTATGAAACAATAACTGATTTAGAAGATAAATCGTGCCCATTTTTTGTACAATGTTACAGGCAGCTTCTCAGCTGCAAGTAAAGGGTCATCACCCCCCCCTCCCTGCCCCCCCAGCATGCAAAAACAGACTCCTCCAGACATAGAACATTGAATTAAAAACAAAATGAATAACAATACACAAGGACAATAGGAAATGCAAGCATTTTAAAAAAGATAAAAGTAACAATGTGATATTATTTTCAGGAGCCAAATAGCGAGAAAACTAACAATGGGATTCACTACAAACTACAATTATTATACAGTAATGGTAAGTTGTAATGCTTTTATTAGACGTCAAAAATGTATTATTAATGAAAGTAACATTTAAAAAAAATATTATATATATTTATCAATAGTTAATTCTGGAGGTGATAGTGGGAATATTTTCTGTTGAATACAAAGAAAATAAAACATTGCAGATCAATAGGTCAGATTTACTTTCCATAATTAACCGGTTGCTTTTAAAATGGAAAGTAAAAAATAAAATAAAATAAAAATCAATATTTTTGCATTTAATGGACTTTTTAAAATACTAATAAAAAATGTTTATTTAGTTCACGTTATAATTTAATAGCAGATATTTCATAATCGTGTTAAATCTGTGTAAGGCACAGGAAATGAAACATTAACTTTAAAAATAAACATTAAATGGAATGTTTTGAACACGCACTTCCATTTAGAATGTGATTATTTGTAAACACAAAATATTCCGAAACACAAAATCAGGCAGAATCTTGTGAAAATGAAAGAGAAAACATGTGGCTTTATTTTGATAACAATGGACAGTAGTTGGAATTGTAACCGTTACTTGACAAGCACTTTGATGCATTAGTTGTTTTCTTAATTGATTAAGCTCTGTCATTTAGCATGCGATTTTGTCTGCACCTTCTCTGTAACCCCAATAAAAGTAATGGTTTCTTTTTTTTTTTTTCTCCCTTCCAGGAGTTAGAACAGAACAAGATTTGTATGTCCGATTAATAGATTCAATGACCAAACAGGTGAGAACTTTTTATTTTACTTTCAAATCACCCTGAGTTGCATAAAGTTTGGTTTGTTTTTCTTAATTTGAAACAAAATCCCAGGGCAAACCAATAATAATGTTTGCTTTCTCCAGAACTGACAAGTAGAATCACTAGGCTAAATTTATTTTATTGTGTAACAAAATTACAACCCAACAGAATAGTCAGACTGACATCATACCATAATGTAGCCTTTGACATTTATTTAGCAATTTTATAATTTTTTTTCTTTACAAGTAGTCTATCTGTTTCTTAGCTGTGGGAAATAAAGGAGGCTATTTTCTTATTTCCATGTTAAATGTACCAGGGTGAAAAGTCAGCTTGTACCTCTCTAGCCCCTATTCACCTCTCAAGCCCCCCATCTCCATAATTCAAACTCCAGGCTCCAGGGGTCACCCAAACTCGTCCATTTTCTCCTCTAGAGCTCCTGTCCTCCCATTCTACCACTCCCTGTCAGACCTTGTAAATAACATAATTACAAGCAGTTGCTTATTAAATTATTTAACCTGTCGTGTACAACTTTACCGATAGTAACTAGAGGTTATCAATAAAATCCACAGCAATTACCTAGCTAGAAAGATAAGATAAAATATATCACTTGAAATTTCGCTACTGCCTTCCCATTAATGGACAATAACAGCACATAAACAGTATGTGTGTTTTTTATATTTTATAATATATATATAATATATATCATATTTGGTAGTAAGAAAAGTAATGTTAGGAATAAACGTATAAAATCAAACCAAACAATGATATATCTAATAATATTTTTTTAGCATTATTAGATCGACGATAAATTAAATACAGCTTATAATTTAAAAAAAAAAATCATATATTAGTGATTCTGCAGTAAAAACCGGTAAATAATAATATAATAAGGAACACACTTTAATTTAACTTACCTGTGTGGTATTTTGGAATGTTCCCTTTATTTAGAACCATTAGATTTCCTCCTAAGGGCAAGTGACTGCCTCAACAGGCTACCCTCACACAGTGGACCCCTCAGTAATTATATCAATAGGTTACAGAGAAGACCCCTACACTTTCCAGTTCTTGGGAGCCCTACAGTACACAATGTCCTTTTATTTCCCATGTACATAAACAGCTTAATGTTTTAGGAAATCACTGTCGTCTAATTAAGAGGCTTTATATAAGCTGCTACAAGTTTCACTGCTGCAGAATTAAAGAAGGAAAGGGGCTACAAATTTAAGTGCAGGTTTATTGTTCATTTAGCTTGGGGTATCTGCAGCCTAAATAGAGCTGGGAATGAAGGCATTTAATCTCACTGGCTAGAAAGAGCCCAGCAACTGATCAAAGAGTCAATGGCGCTGAACTGACAGTTTATGGATTTCTGTTTGCGCTACAAAACAAAAAATAAATCATATCTAAATATGTGGATTCATCAGTTGGGGAGCAACAATCAACACAAGTTATATTACACGCTGTATCAACAAACATTTGGTGAGGACAGCTCATTTTGCTGGGTATTATTTGCCGTTTGCAAAACACTAGCTGTTATTAAAGCTGTTCTTTTATTATTACACTATCAGCCCCATCACTGGGCCAGGGACACAGGCTTGCTGGAGGACAGATAACAAGCATATTAACTGTATCAAAATAATCTAATCCACAGGCAGTGCTAGGAAGCAGAAATGAGACTGTGGGTCCCATTGAATAAATTCTAGAATAGAGAAATCACAACATGTATCAAATATATTGTACCTGTATATAGATAATATAAAAGATATTAGCCACATAAACACACGGTTTGGGAGACACAAAAATTAAAGTTTTATATAAAATAGATTTTTTTCTTAAAGTGCTACATTTACCTTCTGATTATTTATTAATCTGAACCCTGAGGTTTTTTAGGTAGAGGCGAAATAAGATTTTTGGAGATTTATTTGAGGATAGGACAGGGAATGTAGGAGAAGGCGATGCGTTTTTCTGGGCGCAATGATGGAGCAGTTGCGAGCAGTCGCCAAAAAGTAAGTCGCCGGTCTTGTCATTTTTTCAGTGAAAATATTTGACTTTCAATGTTTTTATTTTCATATTAAACTTGTAAATTACAGGGTTTTTTTTCTCCCAAACTGATCGTGATAAATAAAAGTGTAATTGGGTAGCCGTGTTATCCGGGGCTCTGGCAGCTGTTGCATAGAGAGTGTCAAAGTACATGAAAAATAGATATTCCAATTAGTAATTTTATGAGGTGTTGAGAGGAATTAGCTTCTAAATATTGGACTACTTGAGCTGCTTATGCAATTTCTCAGCAAAGATTTAAAAAAAAAAAAAAAATTTAAATTATTTTGGGAAAAATAATATCTAAAGAGTATGAGTTTTAGTACATACAGTCTATTTATAAAAAAAAGTGCTAGATTTTGACTGCAGGAGTGAGAGATCTGTAGCGAGTCTGTTCTGGTCAGTGACAGTAAGAATTGGCCATGGGGGGGTGGAGAGAGGGGCTGAGATTTGCCAGATCTGATTATTGATGGAGGGTGACTGAGGGGGTGGTAGGCCATAGCAGGGCTATTGGTGCACAAAGCTTTGAGCCATGTGTTCCAGGAAGCCAAGAACGCCCATCTCTCCTGGCCAGACTGCTACCCTTTAGCTATTCTGTGGATGATAGGAATTGCAGT